AGGTTGCTCAGATCCAGCAAGAGCAGGTTGAACCCGGCAGCTGTTGTGCATGGGGCGGGGACAAACCAGCTTTGTGCGCATGAGCAGGTGACTGAGACCGGGTTAGAACCGGAAACGACCCCCTCACTTCCGGTTCCTGTCTGATTGGCCAGTTCAAACCCCAGCAACATTTGATTGGATAAAACTTCCGGCCCTCTGGTCTCGAGTGACAGAACATGCGATCAAACACGGGCTGCATGAAGCAAGAGAATGTTGGGGTTTCCCCCAGCACCGGAATGTGGTGGGGAGGTGTGGGTTCCTGGGTCCCCTGCAGGGCTTGCTGGGAACATTGGCGTCTACATGGCTCCCAGTCGGTGGGTCACAGAGCTGCAGGACTACAATCCCAGCATGTCCCGGGAGAGGCAGTGTCGACCTGCATTCCAGCCACCCACCAACCAGGAGCGACGAAAACTCCCATCATGCCCTGAAGGGTCCCACAAGCCTCCTTCCCCAACCCTTCTGCCCAGGCTGCCCTTCGTCTCCTGAGCCTGCGCACAGAGCTGGGTTGTCCTCGCTGCAGTGTCCAGCACTCCGGCACCCCCATGTCTTCCCTTCAACTTGTCACTCAGTGACCTGCAGGACGTGGGAGTCCTTGGCGAGGATGCCGGGATATTCGGAAGCTGGGAGAAGAGGAGTATGACGGGATTGTCTCGAGAGGGGGAGTGGATGGACTTGGATGATTCGGCTGTGGCGGGACCGGCCTCCCCCTCAGCTCCGACAGTGGACCCCTCCCCACCGGCAGCTGGGCCTGGTGCCCTCGGTGTAGGTGAGACTAGGCTGGGACCCTGGGGACTTGTCCCCTCCGCGACATCACCAGCTGAACCCTCTGCGTCCAAGCCCACTCACTACGTGTTTGGGACCTGAAAGAGTCGTGGGGAGGATCTGAGCCAGGTGCTGGGCCCACAGGGGGAGGATCTAGGGTACTACCCCTATACCTCCTCTATCCCCCCCCCCAAGGTTACATCACAACGTTGAGGGAAAATTTCTCTCATTATGGCTGTGGAAATCAATACATTTCCATCAAAAGTGTGGTAGATTATCTAATTTCACAGGTGTATGAAAACATCCATTACATTTTTTGCTTCTTTGGTCAATCTCACTCCGTCGCTCAAGCTGGGGTGCATTGGCACACTCACGGCTACCCAGGCATCAACCTGCTGGGCTCCAGTAATCCTTCCACCTCAGTCTTCCAAGTAGCTGGAACTACAGGTATGCAGTACCACACCCAGCTAATTTTTTTTATTTTTATTTTTTATTGTAGAGAGGAGAGGTAGCCAAGGTGCCTAGGCTGGTCTTGAACCCATGGGCTTAGGTAATCTGCTCACCACGGTCTCCTGACACTGCTGATAATGCTTTCAATAAATTATTCTTTAATGCTGTTTTGTAATAAGAATATAATTCTCCATGGACCAAGAATGAATTTAGCCATATGGGATTACCTCCAGTTTACTGTTGCTTGGGAAAATAACGATAGTGGGTCTACAGAAACACACTGATAGATAACAGGTTTACCACTGTTTTGCAAAGCCACTAAAAAAAAACACATCAAGTGGTCAATGTTCCTCCACTCTAGAAACTTCCATCTGTTGTAAAAGGGTAAATGGTTGAATCACCATCACATGATCAGTACAAAGAAGGGAGATGTCCATGGTATATGACTTTTTGTTGTTGTGTGCTCTGATGCTACTCTTAAGAGCATTCACAGACAGAATTGTTGCTGTTTCACTATTAATATTTCTGTGGGTTTGCCCTTGTTAAAAATAACCATAGTGGTTTTCTTTGTCTGTTGTGCCCAGGCTGGAGTGCAGTGAGACACTCATAGCCACTGCAGCCTTGACCTGCTGGCCACAGGCAATACTTTCACCTCAAACTTAAGGCATGTGCCACCATGTCCAGCTAATTGCTTGATTTATAGCTGAAATGAGGTTGTGCCAAGTTACCCAGGCTGGTCTGGAACCCCTGGGCTAAGGGGGATAGCTGTGTGTTATGGCTCTCTTCCTGCAGTCCCCAAAAGTACTGGAATTACAGGCAAGAGCCATAACACCCAGCTATCCCCCACATGATTCTAACATGGAGACATTGTCTAGCTGAGGGTGGCCAGATATGTTCGTGAAAACTGAGTTCAGAAGGGAGGTCACCTGTTCTGCTCTGCTTGGGTTTGGTCAGGCAGGTAAGCTGTGGGATCATATATTCATTGCTGTAGCAGAAATTGCCAGTGTTTCTGCCAAGAGAGGGCACTTGTGGGAAGAAAAGAATTAACTCACACTTTGCACTCCTTGTAGGAGTTCATTGTTTTTGAATCTGTCTCCTGTGACAAAAGACAGAGAAAGGTAGACTTTTGCACCTTTTCTGGACCCTCCTGCTTGTGGGTGTGGTGGAATAAGGAAAGGATTGTGCTTATGTTAAAGGCATATTCTGGCTGTACATCATAGCTTATGCCAGGAATCCTATCACTTAGCGAGATAGAAGTGAGAGGATTGCTTGAGCCCAGGAGTTTGAGACCAACCTCTACAACATAGCATATTCATGTCGCTATAAAAATAATTGAAGACAGTTGGGCTCAGTGGCTCAGCCTGTAATCCCGCGGTTTGGAAGGCTGAGGTGAGTGGACTGCCTGAGCCCGTGGGTTTGAGACTTGCCTGGGTGGCAGAATGAGACTCTAACAAAAAATAACTACTTTCAATTTAATTTTAAAATACATAAAGGCATATTTTCAACATGTAGGTGTGACTTGTCCAGATCATCTCACCTGAAAAGAAATTCCAAGCTGGGCTCGGTGGCTCAGCCTGTAATCCCGCGTCTTTTGGAGGCTGAGGTGAGATTGCCTAAGCCTGCGGGTTCGAGAACAGCCTGGGCAAATTGGCAAGACCTCATCTCTACAATAAATCAAAAATCAGCCGGGCGTGGTAGTGTGCACCTGTAATTCTGGCTACTCAGAAGGCTGAGGTGGAAGGATCGCTGGAGCCCAGGTGTCTGGGAGTGGCCACTGCACTCCAGTCTGGGCAATAGAGTGAGACTCCAACTCAGCAACAACAAAAAAGAAATCCCAGAGGGCAGGCCTGGGTGGCTCAGGCTGTAATCTGAGCACTTTGGGAGGCCAAGGTAAGGGGACTGCCTGAGCCCACGGGTTCAAGACCAACCTGGGCAATTTAGCAAGACCTGTTCTCTACAATACATTAAAAATTGGACAAGCATAGTTCAGCCTGTAGTAACAGCTACTTGGAAGGCTGAGACAGAAGTATTGCCTGAGCCCAGCAGGTCATTGCTGGGGTGGCCATGAGCATGCCAGTATACCCCAACCTGGATGAAGGAGTGAAACTCTGACTCAAAAAAAGAAAAGAAAAGAAATCCCAGAGAAGTTGGAAGAAAAGGAAAAAATGCCTGGTTCTCAGGTAAATGTGTTCCAGATCAGAAAGACTTTTTTTAAAGTTTATAAACCTCACTGCTACTTGTGATGGTCTTGCCTAATGAGTATTTTTCATCTATTTTTCTTCTTCCTGATATTCAAGGGCTTTGAAGAACTTGTCTCCCTATATACCAGAGGTCCCACTGTTCTCAGCATCCATGCTGCCTAGTTGCCATAAACTGTTCTCACCATGGATATATGACCTGTAGTATTAAAAATGTTCCCCTGTGGTAGGGGAACATGGAATGGTATGGATATCCAAGCATCCCATCAGAAATGGGTAGATCCTCAGATATGAGAAAAGGATGAGAATAGGTATGATTAAGATTTCACAAGATGCTTCATTAGCTCCATGGAGAACACGGTTAATAGCATGCACATTTACACAGGATGGCAGTTACTGCCCAGAACACAAAAATGTCTGAATAAAGAATTATTAGAAGAGAGTTTTTTGGGGTTTTTTTTGAGTTGGAGTCTCACTCTGTCACCCAGACTGGAGTACAGTGGCTACTCC